CTCCGTCAAGAAAATAAAATAGGAATAAAAATTGAAATAAAAAAAACACAGCATTTAAAAATACATTAAAGAAAATCATATGATAGAGTAATAACAGTAATAATTTTAGTTTTTAATCGGATTGGGTGATGTTTTTTCCGGGTGAAGTTTTTTCATGGTGATGTTTTATCTGGGTGATGTTTTTTCCGGGTGAATTTTTATCCAGGTGATGTTTTGTCCTCTAACTTTTTTGGGGTGACTTTTTATCCAGGTGATGTTTTTTCCGATTACCATTCCTATCACCCCACTCGCTTTAATATGTTCAGCCGCCACTTCCGAAACCCCTGTCGCCTTACCTAGTTTCATTTCTCTAACTGCTTTCTCTACTTCCTCCCTCGTCACTTTCTCTATAGGTCCGTGTGTGACCGCGGATTCCACATCTCCATCCCACTCATTCTCTTCATTCATCAACCTTTCCATATGAGCTTTCCACACCTGAGCTTTTTCCTCCTCATCTATGCACAACTTGCCAGATCCATCCCAAACACATCCATTCCCTATAACATCTTTCCTATCCCTCATTGACTGCTTTGCTACTTTGAACATTTTCCTCGAACTCACATCAGATTCCATTTCCTTCATTAACCTATCTGATGCTTTCGTCATTGCAGTTGCCACTGCCTGTTTTGCAACCTTCTTAGCCTTCCTATACTCAGACTCCGCTTCCTCCGTCATGTCCCTTCTCCATACCCTAAACCTCTCCTTCTTGACTTCCAAAACCCTTCTTATATCCTCATCCCACCACCACGTCTCACCATGCCTACACTTTCCTTTCGTCCATCCACATACTTTATCTGCCGTAGCCAACACACAGTAGACAATAGACATGAACTAGTAACTAATGAAACATTTAATATTAATTGGTCAATAATTTAGTTTGAGTCGTTCTTGGGCTAGCAGATAATACCCAAAATAAAATTTCACAAGTTTAATTTTTAATGTGTGCTTATTATTTTAATTCTGAATGACGTGAACTACATTAATTTATTGAACTGAATGATTGACAAGTTATAACTTTAATTCAGATTGTGATAAAAATTGAAATAAAAACAATCGCGGAAGTAAAAACCTGCTAGGCCAAGGCTTTTTACGTATTTTTTTAAATTAAATCAGAGCCAAAGTAATGAATGATTCTGAACTTAGCCACCAGCCACAATGACCGACCTATATATTATGTGCGCGGAGAGATCGTGAAAAAAGAGAGGACCATCTGCTGAATGCACAGCAGATGTTCATATATGTTACCAATAATTGTATAGCTATATAAATCCTTAACTGATCATTGAAATGTATGAAAAGTATGTATTCTATATATTTAAGTAACGCATGTATGAACAATGATTGTATGATGTATTGAACAACATAAAAAAATTGACAGTAAGTTGAACATAAAAATCGATTAAAAATATTATTAATTGCGGCCTCAAAAAAAGATTTCTACCACTTATGTAGAATTAAATTACCTTTCTAACAATATATCTCAGCCACTGAAAAAAACAGCCTTCCAGGGTGTTCAAAACCCGAAAAACAAACACACTTCATTGTGCATCAAATCGCAAAAATATTTTTTTTCACTATTCGTAATTGCGGCCTCAAAAAAAGATTTCTACCACTTATGTAGAATTAAAATACCTTTCTAACAATATATCAGCCACTGAAAAAAACAGCCTTCCAGGGTGTTCAAACCCGAAAAACAAACACACTTCATTAAGCATCAAATCGCAAAAATATTTTTTTTCACTATTCATAATTGCGGCCTCAAAAAAAGATTTCTACCACTGATGTAGAATTAAATTACCTTTCTAACAATATATCAGCCACTAAAAAAGACAGCCTTCCAGGGTGTTCAAAACCCGAAAAACTAACACATTTCATTGTGCGTCGTATCACAGCGACTGAAACAGAAAGATATCGCTGGGCAAAATTAAATTTTACTCGCAGACATGGTGGTCGGTACTATTGGTCTGCCATCATCGCTTTTATTTCATTATAAAAATCATTATAACACCTCAACCCTAGATAAGCATTTATTGCTAGGCTGACTCTTTCACTTTATTTTATTGTGAATAAATGGATCAACATAAAAACTTAAATTACACGTTCCTCTAGCCTGTGTATGCGTGGGTGTGTTTGTGTATGTATTATGTTTGTGTATGTATTGTGTGTGTATTGTATGTGTCAATAATTAACAAAATAACCCAACGATATCTTTAACAATTAATTCAATGATAAATTTAACTGACTTCAAATTCAACAATGTTCGTTTATGTCTATGTGCGTTTTATTCAATGGTCTTTTTTGGTTGTGCTATTTTTTCAGTCGAGTAGCATCGAAGTATGTTTTTTAGTATTGAATTTTAAGCGGTGTGCGCTCGTGTATGTCTGCCCTTTTTATTGCAGCCAATCGCACAACGTAGTTCATCATTAGGTTAGTTGAGAGCGGTGCCATTGGTTCTGCATGCATTATGCCCGAACCAATGATTACAATATATTATTTTCACATTCATACCAATATATGTTTATATATGTGTGCGTGCGTGTGTGAGTATGTATGTACGTACGTATGTATGTTTGTAAATAAATAAATTTGCAAATCAAATCACCCAGTCCGTCTGATTCATTGGTCAATTGTAAAATTTTAACAAACATAAAGTACTATTTTCACGTAGGAAAAGGAATAAGACAATTGAGAGGTTTAGAAAGAAATCACAGATAAATA